CCGACGGTGACTCAATCAGAAAGACGCCCGCCTCCACCATCCTATTGATCTCTGCCTCCCCCATCCTCGATGGCACCCATTCCTCATCATGGCTAGCTACGGCGACCACCTTCTTTGGCTTCACAGCTTCCTTCTTTGGCGCCATTTCTCAAATCTGGTTAGGGATTGGCGGTGGAAGCACGTGTGGATCTGAATCGGGAAGTGCGAGGGCTGAGGAGGAAGATGAAATGGCAAAGTGGCAAAGGTGGGAGCATGGGGTGCGACAGCGCAGTTATAAAGCACTCCCCCCACCTTTCGCATTCGAGGGTTTTTGGGAAACCGCTCCCACGATTTGCGCCCCTCCGGATTCTTCAAAGTGGTTTATTGGGCCGGTACCTAGGCTTTCGCGTAATTACAGCCTAAATCACCCATTTATCGCTGCAATTTGTTACTGCTCACTGAATATTCGCTGACTTCTCCGCCATCCGTTATGGCTCAGTTATTACTACTGTACAGCTATTACTCCGGTTTTTTCTCCAGGATTTGTTTTCTTCAAGATTTCCACTTGTGGCTCGGGGACTGCGTCAGCAATATGACTTGGTTTCTCACCACACTGGGGACTTTCCTTTGTTGATTGTTGTTTCTGACCTTGGCACCACGTGACTGCATCACCTACTGTCAGGCTCGGGGACTAAGTGGGCACACTTTACCTTATGGTGAATGTGCTTTTCTCATCTCAAGGCTACGCCCGAGGACTGGCTACCTGCTCGGCTGGTTTTATGCTTTTCTTTGGACCCTGGCACCACGTGATTGCGTCACCTACTGTCAGGCTCGGGGACTAAGTGGGCACACTTCACCTTGCGGTGAGTGTGTTTGCTTTAATCTGGAAGACTCTGCGCCTCCTGAAGTTGAAGAAGATTATCTTGATTTCTTGTGGTCGAACTCTAAGTGGGCACACTTGGTCCACTGCAAAGAAATTTTTGGCTTTGAACTTGAGCTCCTTACACCCTTATGGCAAGCTGTACTTGGGTTACGCTGCTCAGCGACGGTTCACGCTGCTTGGCAACGGTTCATGCTGCTCAGTGATGGTTCTCGTTGCTCGGCGATAGTTCACGTTGCTCGACAACGGTTCACGCTGCTCGACGATGGCTCACAACTGCTCGGCAACTCATCACAGTGGTCAGACCATGAGTTTGACTGCTCGGCTTTGTTCGCACCTGCTTGGACAAGCTCAAGATAGCGTTGCACAACGAATGTAAGGTGCTCGGGGACTAGCTGTGGGGGGTGCGACCCTGGATACCCACGACAGACCACATGGGCTACGCCCCCAGGGGCGGCCCAGCCCACAAGATGAAGCCTTGCGGGGCACGACGCTGCTCGGTACCTCCCGCAAGACACCAGGAAGATATCCTGAAGATATTACAAGATCTGTTAGGATATGTATGATCCCATGATTCCTGTAATCTGTTATTACTTTCCGGTTATCTCCTAGATCTAACCGACTTATAACCCTACCCCCAAGACTATATAAGGCGGGCAGGGACCCCCTCCAAATACATGCAATATCATACGATAGCCAATACAATCTAACAGACCACAGGAGTAGGGTATTACGTCATACTGACGGCCTGAACCTGTCTAACTCGTGTGTCTCTATTGCCTTCTTGTTCTTAATTTCACGCATCTCTGCCGATCAATCTACCTTCGTGGGATACCCCTCGGAGGACTGCCGATGATATTCTATCGACAGACATCAATAGTGTTGTGGGCGCCTATAATCATCATGTACCCAACAGCGTGGGCAACAAGACTTCATAGCATGCGTACTCTCTCTCACTTGTAAGGCCGTCCCCTTCAATTATAAAAGGAGACGTGCTCTCTCCCAATAGGGATGATAGATTCAGACAACTCCAACACACCTCGAACACACATCAAGGATTCGAACAACCAACGATCGATTCACTCTCTGCTAGCTTTAGACACTCTAAAGTTACACAGAGCACCCGTTCGAATACTTAGCGCACGTAGGAGCTCCCGTCACTCTCGGCCCTTTAGTCCGGAGTCCGACCGGACCTCTTGCACCCTCCATCTTTCTCCCTCTCGTTTGTAACCCCACAGCAAACTTCGAGCACCTAGGCTTAGGAATAAAGTCATCGACCGACTTAGACTGAACATAGGGCACGTTGCCTGAACTAGTATAAACCCTGTGTCATTGAGTGCTAGGTCACATCCGATCACAACGTACGGTAAAACTACAAATATTTACGTGTTTGCCACTTTCTGCACCGACAATTTTGTTAAACATATTTAGTCAAAGTTAAAAGTTGTTAACTTTTTGAAAAGCGAAAATGATTCTTTTTTTAGGGATGGAGGAAGTACTCTCTACTCACAGGTTAATCTTGTGGATTTTTTTGAGAGGCACAAGCAAATCATATGTTCCTCTAACCCACGAGACATAAGACAACTCTCAGGCTTAATAAGATAGAAAGAGACCTTCTTGAGAAAACCCTTGAATCTTGCCTCAACCTTACATAGTGGCATCGCAGCCCATATGAGAACGGAGCTAGCTCTTAGCCTATGCTTTGGCACAAGACAAAAAAAGGATTTTTTATCCTCATCCTGACGTTCACTCGCGCCCACCGGAAGTCAAACTCAGAACGAGTGTTACCAAAGCCACCTAACCAACCTAGCTAGCTAGGCGCCCACTCACAGCATGATTCATCTATATATAATAGATGGAGTTTTCACACCCTTAGTCACAATTAACCTTTGAGAACACTCGTCAGCCTCTTCTTTCCAATCTCTTCTTCCGGTTACGCTAGCATGCGCCATCCACACCCGTGCCGCCCCAATCAACTCCCCTCCGCTCCGCACATGCTGCCCCACCAATCTATAAGACACTATTGGATTTTATAGATACGTAGTTTTTGCTATGTACTTAGACAAATACTATGCCTACATACATAACAAAAACAATATATTTAGAAAAACCAAAACGTCTTATAATCGAAAACGGAGAGAGCAGGCAACAAGTTAGCCCCTCCGTTTCAAAGTCCAATTGACTTGAACTTGTTTTTTTTAGAATTACACAGCACAACGTAGACGTCCACAGCACGCACGCACACTCACCCCTATGAATACACGTACGCAAACCCTATCCCTATGAGCACCTCCGAAGGACTGAGCCGGCAGATCTCGAGATTCACAAAGTCACCACAGGCGTCTCATTGTCGACGGGACGTCGTCTACCAATCGAAAAGCATAACATCAAAACTTTTTAGCTTTGGTCATGTTTGTAAAAATATTACGCCAACATTTATAACATTATTTTGTTTATTATACTATTTATAAAATATGTTTTGAACGTGCATTTATTTTAACCTGTAGATGTCTTTAAAAAAAACTGGTCAAACCGATGTTTGATTTAAAAGACAAATAAAGTGGACCAGTAGTAGTATAATTTAGGTTTTGCATATGAGGATGCACAACTTCGGTATTACGTGGTGCAACTCAGCAAACCACAATGATCCATAACGAAAAATACTTCACTACTTCGAATTGTGCACAATTGTTACATACTCTATAGCATGGCTAATGTGTAAGCATAAATGCAGAAGCCAGTTTTCCATCGACATGGAACATATAGATGTTTTTGTTCATGACGAGGCCGATTCCATCTTTCTTTACAACGTTAGCATGATGGGTTTGGAGAACGACCCCACACCACATAGACTGGTCGAGCATGGCATGATGCCGACGTGCAGTGGTCCGACTTTTTTTACGAGATGCGTTTGCTCCATGAAAATGGCTTGCCAGAGGCTCGATCTAATTTCCATTATCGTCGTAGCGGAAACCGGAAACACAAGTTTCTTCAGAACAAGACTCGAGGAAAGAAGCAAAGCACTCCAACAAATTCATGGGAAAGACTACCAACTCGACCTACAGGGGGTAAGACAGCACTCGGGGTGCATTAAAAGTCGAATCCAGATCCGAGGAGTGCTCCTCAAGCCACATAACCAAACTAGCTAGATCGAGGCTCTTTCGCACCTAACCTGACTCAAACTATAAGATCTAAATTTTCAACAATCCTCCGTCAACCTGTTAAACATTTGGTTGTTACCCCGAAAATTCCAAAAGAGGATTACTTTAACAAACAGATAATATTTTTTTAGTAAAATTCACCGCCGGTCCTTAAACTTAACCAGCGTTGTCATCCCAGACCCTGAACTTCTAAAGTGATATCTGCAAGTCCCTAAACTTGGCCAACCGTGTTATCCCAATCCATGAACTTTCAAGACGATCACCGTCGGTCCCTAAACTTGGATTGTGGTGTCATTCCAGACCCTAAACTTGGTTTTGAGTTCTCGTCCGGGTCAAAGCAGGACGGTTTATAAACTTTATATTAAAAATAATTCATAACTTTTTTCAATGAAAACAAACTTTATATCAAAATTATATCCCTCAATGCGATCTATAACTTTGTAATTGAAAAGTTTTTTAACTAAAACTATTTAGGGTTCCAAAATATCGTTGTAAGTTTATAGATGTTGGAATTTAATAGATGTTGGAATTTAAAATTATTGTATTCGAGATTGTTTAGGGTCTATATGAAACTCAAAATACTATTTATAAAATTTAAAATTATCAAATAACCTTGATGTGTTTAGGTCCCAAATATTATATTCGAGAGTGCTTGATGATTTTAAATTTAAAATTATCAAACAATCTCGGATGTGTTTAGTCCCAAAATACAGTTGGGTAATGACTCCGTGAGGAGCCCTTCTTCAGTCCATTCCGAGTTTGGAATTCCAGCCAATATATAAGCCCATCCGGCAGGCAGGCACTCTGCCTTTGGGAATATCGCATATGCCCTCAGTTGCTTCCCTCCACCAACAAACTCAGCAACCAAACAAAACGTTACTCTTCAACATCCGCAAGTCTCCTCTTGGCTGCTTCTTGCCCAGCCTGCTCTCTACCTAGTTTCGTCATCCACCATCACAGGTCAGGTTGCTCCGCTCGGAATGGCCTCCCCGTCGACAGAAGCCCCGCCTCCCCCGACCCTCCGAGACGTCATCGGCCACGATGACGACGACGACTACGACGACCACTTCATCGCAGAGGAGGACGAGGACGAGGAGGAGGAGGAGGAGTGGGACATGAGCAAGCGCATGTCGCGCCTGTCCATGGAAGGCTCCGACGGCGGCGACGCCGACGACGAGGACGGCGGAGACGAGGAGGACGAGTTCGAGGTGCGGTCGGACGTCAACGCCGCTGCCACCACGTACCGCCCGTGGCCTCCGTACGACGAGCCGCGCGGGGCCCCGTCGTCGGCGTCGCTCCCGGGCACGCCGGACCGCGGCGGCGCCCAGGCCACCGCGCAGTCGTCGCCGTGGTGGCCCGGGCCGAGCGCCAAGGACAAGGAGTACGCGAGCGAGACGGAGGCGCGGTGGCCGCCCGACGCCGACGGGCGCGGCGGGAGGCGGCGGAACCGGCGGGCGCGGATGGCGCGGGAGGTGTGGCTGGAGCGCGCGTGGCGGATGCGCAAGCAGCGGCGGCAGCTGCAGCTGCAGCTGCGGGAGGAGGTGCCCGTGGTGCTCCTCGGCGGCGGCGGCGACTCCCCGGCGAGCCGCGCCGGCGGCGGAGGCGTGGCGATGGACATGGAGGAGGTCCGCGCGTGCCGGGACCTGGGCCTGGACCTCCCCTGCGACTGGACCGTGGAGATCCCCTGCTGCTACGCGCTCTCCGGCGTCGACACCGCCAGCAGCGGCGGCAACTCGCCGGCCTCCGGCAGCTGGCGCATCTCCAGCCCCGGTAACCATCGACTAACCGAGACCCCGGCGCAATCATTGTCTTTGACGTTAATTAGTCCCTACCAGCCTCCCAATTTTCTTTTTCTAGTACGAGTACGATACTGCGCTGCTAGGCAACCATCTGTTTGTCACACGAGTTCTCCGGCCGAACGGTTTGTCCGTACGGCCGCGATCGAGTTGTGTCGGTCCGGTCGAGGCGCCGAGCCGATCAGATGATCGAGGTCGCTCACCTCACCGGCCGGCGGGTCAATTCGTCGCTGCGCGCACGTCCATTTGGCATGAAACTGACGGGGGCCTTTGCCTGCCCGGTGGGCGCCATGCACGCACGTCACCTCGACCTCGCACGGGCGGAATCGCATTCGACGGCCGTCTCTCTCTCAGTCTCTCTGCCCTGCCTTGCCAGGCAGTGCACTCGAACCAAGTTTATAGAGCACGCGCGCCAGGACGCCAGGTGTCATGCTCATGAGCACCCCCTGTCTCATCATCACCCAAAAGTACTGTACTAGGAGTACATGGGAATGGGATTCATCAGTGGCGTGGCGCATCTGTTGGCTGTTTATTCCTTGTGTGGCTGGGAATTGGACTCGCGCAACTCGTGGCGATCAACTTGCCTGCGCCTGCGCCTAGGGTGGTAGTTCCTCACGCCGACGTGGACGCGTCACGCTGCATGCCCCCCCTTTTCAGGCTTCCCTTGCATTGCCCCGCGGCCTCGTGCTACTGCTATCTGCACCGCTGCTGCTCACCTAATGTCCACCCGCTTTCCTGCTCTTATCATGGCGCGCGCACTTTTAGCCCGCGATGATACAGTACGAATGTACGCGGGATTCCCGGTTCCTTTGCCGCCGCGGACCCTCAGTGGTCGCGAAGGAGCGTGCAAAGGGCTGCCATACCATTACTAATTTAGCAAGCGCATGACGATTATTTAGGATAGGCCGGGGTGTTTGCTTTGCTGCCAAGCGTTCTCTTTGGTTAATTTCATCGTTCCATGATAAAACCCACAATAGTGTAGTGCTGACGTGACACTGCTGTACGCCGCTGTTGAATTGAAACAGGGGACGACCCCAAGGACGTGAAGGCGCGGCTCAAGGTGTGGGCGCAGGCGGTGGCGCTCGCGTCCGCCTCTCGTCTCGGTTCTTGAGGCACAACGGCGATCAAGACGGATGCAAGCTCACCATACGTACACATCCACAGGACAGATTACTCGTCGTCTCGTCTCAAACAGTAACATATAGTCTTCGCATCTGGTCAGATGAAACAAAAAAAAAGTGTCGCCATTTGGGGCAGAACACCGTTGCTTCTGCCACATCGTTCTTGTGTCCGTGTGTGTGGTCATCATATATAGCTAGGATCAGGGTTTCTTTCAAAAAAAAATTTAAAAAGCAAAAGCAAACTGTAAGCTAGGATTAGCTTGCATATGGTTTGGTGACTTAAGTAAAAAAAAAGATTGTTGAGGGAGCTAGCCGTACGTGCACAGTGCACACGGGTGGCTGGGTTGACAGTGTGACACGTGCAGCGCTGTGGACCGTGTGTGTTTGTGAATTGCATGACCATGATTGCTGTACGAGTATAAAAGGAGTGCAGGTGAAGAAAACAGAGCTAGGGGATTTTCCATGGACGTTTTTGGCCGGTGGGGAGCAAGGCGACCCAAAAGCTTTAAAGGTGTTCTTCATTCATGTGTTGATTCTACTGTAGTACTATAGACTTGGAAAAGCGAAAGGAGAGAACCTCGGGGAGAGAACAGACTCATGCAAAAATGGTTTCTAGAAGGATGTTTGCCATGTAGCAGTAGCAGTTGTACGAGTAGTTCTCTCGTCCATTGGTATTAGTACAACTTCACTTTTCAGGTCAGAAATGTAACGCCTCCGTTCCCAAAACAATGCAATTCTAGCACAGTGTTACGTTTACATCCAATTATAGATAAAAAAGCATTCATGCTTATGATACTAAATAAATATCATCAGATTAATTACGAAATATATTTTTATAATAAATTAATTGAAGGACATAACTGTGAATATTATTTACTAAAAAATTAGTCAAACATAAACCACTTTTCGTGACACGTAAACCATAGTTGTATTCTTTTTAGAACGAAGGTAGTACGTATGTGTGTGCATCTGATGGGTCTCAATGTTTTTCATGGCGTGAGATGTGCCCAGCTGATAAACCGGCTGAAACTAATTTGTTGTAAAAGAAAAACACTATTCCATAACTGATAAGCAGACTGATAAGTTTAAACAAAGATATAAAGGATGACTACATTTATTTTGAGATGACTCTGGTCAATTCGTTGCTATTAAGTCGTAAAATTGTGTCCACATCTGAATAAAGTTTCATTTTGGCACGTATCTCACGTAACTCAAATGGCTGAATGATGCCTACCAAATGGGCGTCGATGCTCTAATCCAGAAAGTCATGTTCAAACTCAGCATGGGAATTTCGCTGAAAATAAAAAACTATCGGCACTTCCTCTTCAACTACTGTATGTTTTGCACGAATCAACAATTATCCCAAAACTGAGCTATTGACTTCACTCAGCTGTCCAGGGGTAACTCGCCACAGTTAACGATTCGGCAGGGCTGCTTGGGAGTATCGGACCTGCTGGTTTCTTGAGATTCAAGCTGCTTCACCACGTCCATCCCCTCCAAGACATGTCCAAACACGACGTGACGGTTGTCCAACCACGGTGTCTGAGAAGAATTCCATTATTTCAGTGTGAGCCAAATACCCAGATATATAAGACCTCGATGGCCGGTTCTTGCTGAAGAAAACAAACATGAGAAGTCCAAGGCTATGTTTTGATAAGGGATAGTTTATTCATGATATATTATCCTAGCACATCTAGATGTACATGTACTACCTTGAATCTTGTCTTGTTCATACATAAACAACAACAAACCCAATCAATGTTATCGAGTTGAAAATGTCATGGTGCTCAGTTATGACATGTAATAAATCAAAGTATATGAATAGTTTTTTAATAGACAAAGTTCAAAGAATTTTGTGAAATATATAGCTGCGTTGAAAACTAGCCAAACAACTTAAACATAATCAGTTGGTAACTTTGACCAAAGGTCCAAAAAGAATAGAACGACAAAATATATTTTACAAATCTGTCTAAAGAACAACAGATAATAATTTTCATATGAATCAAGAGTAACAAGATACTAGGAGACACTGAGTTCATGTACCAACAGATGTAAGAGGAGGCCGTTCAGAATTTTATGGGCCTGGACAGTAAACCCTCGAAAAAGGAATCAGTGGAAATTTGTGCTTAAGGATTAATGTTTCGCTTTGAGAGTCTAGGATGTGGAATGTATCTTCCTCCCTCCCCCTTTTCTGAGACAAACGGATTTTTCTAGCCAAGTTTGTTAAGGGTGTATATAAACTTGTTACTACTCTGGTTCAACAGCTATCTAATCAGCTACAACAGAATATAGGAATGGAACTACAAATATGTACTGAAAATATATACCAATGGAACTACAAATATGTACCGAAAATACTGACTTGTTCTTAATTTCCTATATCTTTAAGACTATCAATGTTACAGTCACTGATGAACATTAGATTTGAATGTATTACTGAAAAGCTAGATTCTTAACGCTGCTTAAGATGTTCCAGCAGGCAAAATAGTGAGCAAAATGAACTCTATCATTACTACAAATCATGAATGCCTTACCTTCACAGTGCAAATGAAAAATTGACTTCCATTTGTGTTAGGGCCAGCATTTGCCATGCTTAGCACACCAGGGCCAACATGCTTCACTGCAACAGAGTAAGCCAAAGACCCTCTCAGTTTAAGAACTAGTGAAATGGCACTAGACACCTCGACATTTTGCAATTCAACAGAACTTCATTCAGAATCAGTTTTCCTGTAAGCACTTGTCTGTATTATTAAATTAATGTGCAGAAGTATTCATAAAGAGCATTTCTCAAGCCTCCTTGGGCAGTCCATGACCCCATTAAAAAAATATATATCTGATCACGTAAGAAGGATCACCAATGCATGTGGAATCTATTTTTTCTGACAATGATAATAATGCATATTGTCAGTGACAAAAAGCTAGAGAAAGTTCACATAAAAATTCATCATAATGAGAACAGAATTAATAGCAGTACTTTCAAATGAAAATGCAACAGTAGAAGGTAATAAAATAGAAGGCTCAGAATCACTTACACATAAAACTTTCATCATCAAAGCATTCACCATAAATACTTCTCCCACCAGTACCCTGTGGTTACCACTAATAGCTTAGCACTAGAATAAGTGAAGACGACCTTTTAGCTCGTGACAGAACTAGTTTCTCTGAATAAATATTATCGAACTTCCTGAACTTTATTTCACTTTCAATTCTTTGAAAAGTATAATGTTACCCATAACTAATAAGTAGCCAGTGGTAGCTTTTGATAGTTTGCATACTTCCATGGTGCAAACTTGTGAGGTGGAACCCTACCCCACCCATCAATCCCATCATCAGCATATTGATTTGGTTCCATATCGACAAAGAGCAGAGAAGTTCTGTTTTCACCATCATTATTTGTTTTGTACTTCTCAGTCTCAGCAACCTAAACCCAAATTTAATTTGCAAACTAAATGTATTTTGCGCAACTTCGGCACCCAACAATCAATTTTGCACAACTTCGGCACCCAACAATCAATTTTTTATTATGAGTTACACCAATCTACATTTTCACATTATGTTCATTCCCTTGCTGCATTATACGAAACTTGTGACTAAAAACAAAAGAAAATCTAAGCTTATCTAGTGAGAACAATCATTCAAGCAGTTTTGCAGACAAAACCCAATCGATGTATCATTATTGACTATGGTTAACGATGGAAATAGAAGTGACAAATTGCATAAAGGGAGCTGCATTGTGCTAATAGTTTGTAAAATGGTTTCAACTTATCTACACACAAGAGAATAGATATTTAGTGATGCAATGCAGATAGTTGGATGCTAACTTCAAGGTGCAATCATAGTACAGAGTGATATCCCAATAGACATTGGATGAGATAATGCTCAATGTTCCACAAGCATGTCCACGGAGACAATATAAATCAGATCCAAACAGGCTCAACAAATTCCATGGGTTGTGGAGGACTTGATGCACTGGAAGTATAGGCTTTAGTTCTATATCTTAAACCCATATGCCAATAAACATATGTGGCTCATATGATTGCCATTGACTGGTGATACCATCCTAAAATCCAATAGTAGATCAGATAATCAATAAACTAATTTTTGAGAAAGGCATGATACTCAACTATTAGGACACTTGCAGCGAGTATGCAGATCAATAGGCGCAATATAACTTAATCTGGCCGAGCTAAACAGACTGGATGAGGAAGACAAAATTTCATAACTGATTTTGTTCTGCTTTCATGTTTTCCTTCCACGTTGGAGTTCATTCTATTGTCACTTGTGAGCAATGATTTACTATGTTGAATAATGAATGGGAACCTTAATTCTACTCTCCTCTTCTTCAGTTGTCGGAATATTTAACAAAATTTGCAGTAGCCATTCAGGCGAAATGCGTAGTGGTAAAAATGCTTACATTGTTTTCCTGGAAGTCCCCACCTTGAATCATAAAGTCCTTGATGATCCGGTGGAAGGAGCAGCCCTTGTAGCCGTACCCTTTCTCACCTGCCCCCCCAAGGCCCCAAACAAAAGAGCAGCAATGCTTGTTAAATTCGACTCATAAAGCTACTGTGACTAACGCTGGTTCAAATTCGATCCACAGCGTACGCACCAGTGCAGAGTGCACGGAAGTTGTCGACGGTCTTAGGTACGACCTCTCCGAAGAGCCCGATGACGATGCGGCCCGCGGGCTCCCCGCTGACCTCCACGTCGAAGAAGCACTTGGTCGTCACTTTGGCCTGCAGATCCACGGCTCCCTGTAGCGAAACACCGGGGGCCTGTCAGCACGCGTTCGGCCTCGGGGAGCGCCGGTAGGTGCCCGTAGCCGCACATACCTCTGCCGCAGCGGCGCGGACGGCGACGGCGCCACGGGCGTCGCGGTGGCCGCCGAGCCTCAGCGCGGGGATAGCGCGGGCGGGGCGGAGGGAGAGCGCGCCGCGTCTCGTTTCCGTTGAGTAGCAGAGGTGGGTGCGGGTCGACGCCGGTGCCGGCGCGAGAACGGAGGGGGCGGATACGGCCGGCATGCACGCCATGGTTGGGTTTGGGTTTGGGCTGGCTTGGCTTATCGGATTTCTTTTCAGGCGTTGTTTAGTTTCTCACATAAAAGTTTATACCATATCCTATCGAACGTAGGACATTTGTATCCACTATTAAATATAGATTAAAAAATAATTAATTATATAGATTATGACTACTTTACGAGACGAATCTTCTAAGGCTAATTAATTCATAATTTGACATTGTGATGCTATAGTAACATATGTACTAAAGATGGATTAATTAGATTTAATAAATTTGCCTCGCGGTTTATTGACGAATTCTGTAATTTGTTTTTTATTAGTATCCAAATATTCTATGTGATACCCACGTATAACATTCAATATGATACCCAAAACTTTACGCACTAAATTTAAATCAGAGCTTAATTGAAATTTTTGCTTATCGGATTGGAGGGAGAAGAAATCAAGAGGGCGTTGTGGTCAAGGGCAGCCCAGCAAGGGGACGCTCGAATAGCCGGAGAAGTGGAAGTAGTGGAGTGGACAGAGAGGCAACTTGCGTGAACGCCTTTGTAGGGTTGGCCTGTTGGGCTTCTACCATAACTTTCCCTTTTGGGCCAGTAAACTGGGCTACGATTGTGTGTACTTTTGTAGCCCGTGTGAAGTGTGGTAGAGTGCGATGATTGTGGGCCCCTAAATTATTGTTGGGCCATCATCTTACTGTTAGGCCCGGAAGGAGTGAGAGCGGTGGCCCATGGGAGCCAGAGTAGCGGCTCTCACGTTCCCACTCCCGGCAGGCCGGCACCGATGTCCAGCCGTCCAGGCAGCTAGTTGCATTTCTTTTTTTTCCCTTTTCTTTCTTCTATTTTTCTTTCTTTTTTATTTTTATTTTCTTTTTTGTTTTCTATGGGCTTTTATTCTTCTTTTTTATGTTTCTTTTATTTCTTTCTTTTCTTCTATTTCTTTGTCGCCTATCTTTTTAATGTTTTTTTTGTATGTTTCATATTTTTCCTGTTATGTTTTTATTTTACTCTAATTAATTATTTTATTTTTTATTTACTTTTTATTTTCTGTATGTATTCAATGAGGTACATGTGATTTCATGTAGTATATATGTAATGTTTATGTGGTATACATGTGGCATACCTCCGATGTTCGCTTTAAATATTTCTTCTATAGTATAATATGATTGTTCTTATAGTATTTACGAGTTGTATTCTAAATTATCGTTATAGTATTCATGAGATGTTTCATGATATACATGATCTTGCGGTGATATTCACTTAAACAATTTTTCTATATCATAATAAGACTATTCTCATACTACTTGTGAGGTACATTCTAAACTATTGTTATAGTATTCACGGTATGTTCAGTGATGTATTTTGGATTGTTCATATAGTATTTTTTTTAGATATTCCATGATGCATTCTTGATTTTTCTGGAAGCACTCATGTTTCGTACGTGGTATATTTTTCAATTTTCCTATAGTACCAATGAGATATTCCATGGTGTATTTTTTGGTCATTCGCGTAGTATGCATGAGATATTCCAATGAGAAAGTATACAGATGCCTTAGGCAGCATGGATGCAAGAGGTTTTGAGTTCGTATGCTAGAGACCCCCAAAACCCAACAGGTACTTCAACAACTAGCCATTGCTAGTTTTGACAGTGGTAGGTGACGTTCTCGTCGATTGTGAAGCGTCTATGGTGATTTTGTGAATCTCGAAATATGTTGGCTTATTCCTTCAAAGGTGCTCATAGAGATAGGTTTACGTACGTGTGTTTATAGGGTTGAGTGTGTACTTGTTGTGGACATCGTTGTACTGTGTAATTCTTACACACACAAAAAAAAGCTGTCCTTGCCGGCGTTCTCATCCGTCCCCTGTACTCGCTTGAGCACTCACGTAGACGGTGACTAGCCGGCGGTCAAGGGTGTGACAGGGCTTAATTCAACATGCCTCCCAACCTCGATGCTTTGTCAGGGTGCCGAAGCAAGCTCGCCCCACGGCTGCTCTGCCTTGCAACTAACCAAACCTAAAAGCTGTATACAAGAGATGCGCATGCGTCAGACGATAATTTTTCTTGCGTAATCCCGCATTAACTAACTGTACCTCCGCTCAAAACAATGGGGGGAAAAATCCCCACCCCACTACGACAAGACGAGGCGAACGGGGCGGCAGGTGCAGGTGCAGGTGCGACCAAGCCACTGAGGTGAAGGTGAGCGCACTCCAGGACGAGGCGCCGGCCGGCGACGGCAATCGTCAGGGACAGGGAAATGCCGTGCACGCACTCGCCATCGCTTGCGCGTCAGCACATAGCAGCAGCCAAAGGCCCACAACAGAAAAAGCATATGGCGGTAGCGATTTTTTTTTTAATTTTTAACACTTTTTAAACTAATTTTAAATCTACCACTGTTTATTTTTTTTTCTTCAAAACTAACATTTTTGGCCGCGCCTATTGCCATGACGCGGCAAAAAGCCTGTGCCGCGTTATGCATGGTGGCGCGGGGGGAGGATGACGTGGCGACGACCAGGGCGCTTACCGATGACGTGACAGGGTCTGACGCGCCAAGGACCACGGCGCGGCAGGACCTGGACGTAGACAGAAGACCAGCCTCAATTGCAATTGAATGGCTTCACGTCGTAGATGAACGGCACCTACAGCTCCGACAACGCCTTCTACCGGAACCTGCAGGTCGGCAAGGGCCTCCTGGGCTCCGACCAGGTGCTCTACTCCGACATGAGGTTGCGTAACACGGTCGACTTCTACGCGTCCAACCAGGGTGCCTTCTTCGACGATTTTCATGGCGGCGATGACCAAGCTCGAGAGGATCGGGGTCAAGGCGCCGGCCACCGGCGGCGAGATACGCCGGGACTGCCAGTTCCTGAACTAGTTGCTAGTTAATCTCGCCGGCAGTACTGCCGCGACGCATTGAAACGAATATGAAGCAAATAAATAGAGTCTGTGCGCAAGTTGACAAGTTGCCACATAATATTTTCATTGGTTCATGACTCCGTAAGTTTCGGACGACAATATTTGTTCGACATAGCCAACTAAGTCCCAGGAGTGTAAGGATCCATCAGACGCCTTTGTCTCTTCGGATTTGTAGGCAACACATTGGGAGTATAGCCAACGTTTGTGTGGTCGCGTTGTCGGTGCGTACGGTTCGTACCCTGCAAGTATATGATATGCACGATTACTTATAATCTTTATGATCGTTAGTTCATGGAGCCTACGTATTTAAAGAAACTACATTTGTTACTACCTGTGAGGCTCCTTGAATACCAAGCAGGGCACCACCTAGCTGAGACATGCCGATCTCGTCCTGCTGTCAATCGTCCCACTAGTGGTGCTGTATGCGGAAGCTCGGGGGGTCATCGTCGTCGTCGTCGTCATCGTTGTCGTCGTTGTCCTCTTTTACAGGGTCCTTCCCATCGCTATGATGTGGTGGTGTACATACTGCGGAAGCAGCACCTATCACCGGCTGAGAAGAGCCGGCTGGTGTCCTCAAAGAGCCAGAAGACGTGCCACCCGACCGCGTCGGGACTGCCGGCTCCACCCAAGCAGTGTCCATACAGCTCAACTTCTGAGCTAGCTTCCTGTAGCTCCGCTTCACCTTCTGCATAAATAGACGTTAAAGTTAGTGTATTTCCCAAACGCATATACACTAAATAAACATTTTTGGAACAGACAAGTTTATGTTTACCTCCACAAAAGCCTCGAGAACGCCTAGCCCCTGCCCTCTAGACTCTTGAAGCCGAAACGCTGCTTCGTTGGACAACTTTGACAATTGTGTCGTCTGGGTACAGAAACGCGGTTGGACAATTTTAGTACACATACTTAATACCAAATGGATAACAAATTATACCATTCGAGTATCTTACCACGTATCTTTGAAGCGGGGCTCTCTGTAGTTGTGTGTCGTCCCTAGTGGCAACGTCGTACACATCTTCGATCACATCTTCCTCGTCGTCCTCGTCAATCGCCTCCTTAGTGTATGGGGGCTTGATATGTGTCCTCGTAGACCTGTGAAGCCACCGTAGGTACTCATCGAAGGTGTGCTGGTCGTGTGGGGGACCCGCATCGACCGGCTGCCGGTCCCTGTTCTGCCACAACTAGATGTACGCGTTGTGTGTCACGCGCCAATCCTTGGTCTTGTACCTCTTCCTGCGGTCATACATGCAACAAAACGATTGTTAGTTGTATCATACACACCTCTAAATTGTAGCTTTGTTATTAATCGATAACGCACCAGTGCAATTCTTGGTTGGTGGAGTAAAGCGGTGGTGGGTAACCTGTCATTTTTCCAAACTGCCTGTAAACCCTGATGAGCAAGTGAATCTTGATCACATGGAAGAAAATAAGAGGGACGTTGCAGCGATACTCGTCTGACTCATCCCTAGTGACAGGACTCAAATAGTACTGGAGCACCGGAGCATCCCAAGGACACCAATGCACCTGAACATTTCGTAATCGAGTTAGGTTGTAATATAGTGTACATCGAACAAGACACATGTATGATAGTAAAGAGAGCGTAACCTGGTGCTATGTCAGGACGTGGAGACAGTCCGTGTACTTCCTGTACTTGCGCCTCGCATTCCCTCTAACTAACTCTGCTTGCGTCTAGATATACAGAGCTATAAGGAGTGTATCCTGTCCGTTCCAATGCTGCATTGAACACGATAATGAATTAGCCATTAATAATTTCATCATATGTAACTGCCTCGAAGAATATAGTGAACCGAAGTACTTACCGGTAAACCAGTAACAAGGGACCTCCCAACAAACCATCGTTCCCAACACCAAACCTGGAGTAGGTAGGAGCAACCCCCAAGATTCACATACCTTGAGGTGCGACGGTAGGCAACGCATAGCTGTCGATACGTCCATGCCAGGACTGCGCTGCCCCAGCTGTACGCCGATATGTTATCCTACGGCTGGCGTAGTATGTTAGGAAAGATCTAGCTGATGGTGTTGCCTGAGACGTCTGGGAATAGGAAAGCACCAAGGAAGTGCTAGAGCCACACTCTAGCGAACCTGTCGATATGAGCCTCATCAGCTTGTGGGTCCAAGTAATCAAAGCGCTCTGTGATCCATGACGACGAAACACCAGAACTTTTTTTGAAATTCATCAAAGAAAATAAGACCCGATAGCTGCAGGAAAGCAATGCAAGTATTAAATAGACTTGAATTGCTCACTTATTTTTCTTGGAAACCTCGCCGTCCAGTGGAAGAAAACTAGTGAACTGAGTCACCAGCTCCCTCTAGTGATCGTTGTCAACTATACTTGTCACTGGAAGTCCCCCCAACCGAAGGCCAAAGATAGCCTTCACGTCCTGTATGGTCAAGGTCATCTCGCCGCAAGGTAGGTGGAACGTGTGGGTCTCAGGCCTCCACCTGTTATAAGAATAGAACGACTGTTAGTTGCCTCAAATTTATTATAAGAATGTTTATGTATAATGAAGGCACTCATACTTGTCTATAGCTGCAGTAAGTAGTGTTGGGTCAAGGGGCGGAAGACCGTAGTTGACAACATGGACAAGCTCGAAGAACCTTGCACGCCGTATGTACGGCGCGTAACGCTCGTCCCACTGGTGCACCCTGGTGTGTGTGGGGCCTCAAAGGAGGCAAAGACACCTCTGCGTCCGTGTCAGTCAAGAAGTGTGCTCGGTGAGGCTCGTCGTACTCCACCTCAAGAAGGGGGTACAACTGGTGCTGCGTGTGAGGGGCCATCCTGTTATAAATTGATAAACAAAGGGTTAGAGTATTCAAATTAACAATATTCAAATTAACATTATGTAGCATTGCAAAATTTGAACTACTTGTTATGCAATACGAACACAATATGAAAGCACATGTATATATTCAAAGTAACATTAACAGACATATTAAACAACTTTACTAGAAAAATAAGCAATTTCTATGTATGGACCTACTGCCCTCGTCTTCTATGCCTACGGGCGTCCGTGGCACGACAGGCGTCTGTGGCTCCCTTTTGTGGCCGGCGGCGAACTCGTGAAGGAGTCCGACGACGCCATCTTAGTTCTTAAGGTAAGTGAAAAGCGTCTTACTGATCTTAGGGTTGGGGATTGTTACCGGATTTGGGTAATTTGCATTCCTAGGGTTCGGATTTGGGCAAAAACTGGGGCTTAGTGTTGAAGTTGATTCGACTCCCCTCCTTCTCGATGCTTAAGCGAAACCCTATATTCTGATTTGGCTTAAAGAACTTTGAATCAGACAAATCCGAGGCTATTTAAATCTTAACCAAACACTAATTAGGTCTTAGGGTTCAAGAATTAGGCTAAGCGGCTTCTTGGATATCAATTGTTATAACTTATACTTAGACAAGATCTTAATTAACCTAATTACCGGAACAGCTAAACCGAAATTAGCACTCAATTAGGACTTTAATCAATCTTACTCGCTGCTGGCGTGCGTCGTCGTGGTGGTCGTGTGGGTGTCGGCGTCGTGGTGGCATGCGGGTGCGGCGGGCGGCGTGTGGCTGATGGCAGGCGTGCGGGTGTGAGGGCGGGGTGCGGCGCGGCGTGCGGCGGCGAGGTGGGCAGGCAAGGCGGGGGGCAGGCGGCCAGGCGAGCAGGCGCGACGGCGGGCAGACAGACAGAGGGAGGGCGGCGACTCGCGGGCGATATTTACCTGGGACTGCCGCGCTATGGGCTATGGCGCGTCAGTGCCGCGCCAAGATCGGTGGCGCGGCAGACCCTGCCACGTCACTGGTCAGCGCTCCGGTCGTCGCCACGTCACCCCTCTCGCCGCGCCACCATGTATGGCGCGGCACAGACGTTTCGCCGCACCAGGAAAATAGGCGCAACAAAAAGTGTTAGTTTTAGAAAAATAAATTAAACCGTGTTAGATTTAAAATTAGTTTAAAAAAGTGTTAAAAATAAAAAAAATCGCGGTAGCCACAGCAGGTGCCTGACGGCGACGGCCGAACTGATGGCTACTAACTCCGGACCGCCGTGGTCTCATCTCATCTGCAACAGGACAGCGTCGGTTGGTCCTGTGGATGATTGGCATTTTCCAAAGGATAGTCTTGTTCAAGCCGGCCACCGTCTCATCTGGTCATCTGGGGCGTCGAGTCTGTCCGTGCGCGTCGCAAGGTGGTTGTTGGGTTGGTGAAGCTAGCGACCAATTTTATTAGCACGGGATTTGGCTGTTGGCAGTGGTAAATTAGTAAATGGTCTGCAGTGGTTAGTAGCACTCTATTTCCTTGCAAAAAAACAATCTCAATCCCATTTCTGTTCACCCTATTTCTTTGCAGAAGAACAATCTCAGTCTGAACATGCTGCTGCTGCTATACGACGATGGCAGCACCAGCTTCCTTGGGTATGTTGCAAGCAACAAGCTACCACATTTGATTAGTATTAGTCTTAGGATAAAGTATGTGGCGTTTTCGTACCGTTGGCCGCTGGTCAGCTTCGTAAGCAAACCCGTGGCAGTTGGAACGACCGGTGCACCGTCAGTTTGTTTACTTTTGATGGCAATAATAAGATCGGACTCCTCCAGTTCAGCCTGGAACCCTGGGAAAAGAAGAGAAGTGTCCCGGTGTTCCCCCCAATTTTTCTTCTCCGAACTTTGCAGCAAAGGAATGGAAGGAAGACTCCTCCGGTTCAGCCTGGAACCCTGCGAAAACAAGAGAAGTGTCCCGGCGTTCCCCCAGTTTTTCTTCTCCGGACTTGGCAGCAAAGGAACGAAAGGATATTCCTAGTTGAAGGAGTCATCGCGCTGATCTACCGGTTTTTCTTCTCCCATCACTTTCGACATCATTCTCACGCATCCTCGGTGCAAAGAAGATCAATGCAGACAGGGACAGCAGACAGCTAGCCGCTGGGCAAGCAGGGTATTATAAATGTATGTACTACTGCATAGGAGTATCCGTTTTGTTTAGTCAACCAATTCAACAGGCTCCATTATTCGCTTGAAAAAAAACCTCAACTTGATCCGTTTGCGATCACTAATAAATATACTAGCACCGCTGTACCAGCAACATGGCTCGTCAGAAAACAGGTTCAGAATAGGGGCATATATAGATGTACTCGGACAATCCTCGTACTTATCCCGTTCAGTTTGGTCAACCGGATTCCATTATACGTCCTCTTAACTGAGAGAGGGATGGAGCCAACTTGTCTGCCCTGTAAATGGAGGTAGGATTTTGGTATCTGCCTCTAGGTAGCCGGGAAGATTTTTTTTCCTTTTCCTTTGAGATTATATGGACGATCCCTGCATATTATGGTAATAATGTAACACGTTCACAAAAAAAAAAAGATTCCATTATACGCGTACAGAGATATCTAAACTCAATCATTCTTGATATCTGATGATACTGCTACTACTACCACCGGTATATAAACAAATAACGTGATCCTGAAACAATCTCCTGAGAAATGGTACGACTGCCAGTCTGCCATGTGCTAGGAGCCAACCGTTTGAGCTGCATCGCATGTGCGATTAATCGCCCATGGTTCCTTCTGCAAGGGGGGACGCGTACGCGAGGCCCGTGCAATTAGGGCGCTGTCTCCTCCCCTTCTCCATTTCTATTTCTATTTACCGTTCGTTCATTCACTATGGGCTATGGGTCGGGAGGACCGATCGATGTGCTGATGTGCAAGTGCGACGCGACGGCGAAACGGCTCAAGAAACGCGTACATGATCGAGGCCCCGCCGGACTGCCTGTTGCAAACGACACGCACAGCGGCACAGACAACGGCGAAACGGAGCACGAAACGCGAGGACGAAACGGAGGCCGATGACGAACGGAACTGGAAGCGGTGGCCCGTCGTCCCATCCGGATCGGTCCGCCGCTGTCGTCCCACGGCCCACGGGGCACGGACGCCAAATCGATCTGCCACGCACAGGCACAGAATAATCAACGCCGCGCCGTGCCGAGGACTGCGTCCAAGCTCGGCGGCCCCGATTATCCGGCATGTGTAGCAGTTCGTCCACGCTGCATAAACAACTCTGTCTCGACGCTCCCATCCTAACAGCCGGGAAGCTGGCGTCTTGCTTGTCTGTCTCTGTCCTCTCAAGTTTTTCTTTTCCTACCCCGTCGTCGCCTTCCCCGGTGGTTCCTTCCAGATCCCCTCCAGTTTTGGCCGACTGGTTAGTCTCCGGTCCCTGCCTATAAGTACGGGCTCGTAGTGTGCTCCCATTTCATCACGGCACAACAACACTACTCATCGCTCACCAGCGTGCAGATTAAGGAAGCAGCGGCCTGTCCACTCACTGACCGGTCATGGCGAGGATCCACCTCTACGTCGCCGCGGCCTGCGCCGTCGTCCTCGCGCTCGCCGCCCCAGCTCTCGCCGGCGACCCCGACATGCTCCAGGACGTCTGCGTCGCTGACTACGCCTCCCGTGAGTAAAAACGAAACCTGTCGTCGGTCTTCTCAAGTCGTTTCTTTCCACTTCTGACCCGTGCGTGCGTGCGTGCAACGTGCAGCGGTCAAGCTGAATGGATTCCCGTGCAAGGCGAACATCTCGGCGGACGACTTCTTCTTCGACGGGCTGAGGAAGCCCGGCAACACCAGCAACGCGGCGGGCTCCCTGGTCACGGCGGCCAACGTGGAGAAGTTCCCGGGGGTGAACACGCTGGGCGTCTCCATCGCGCGCATCGACTACGCCCCGGGCGGGCAGAACCCGCCGCACACGCACCCGCGCGCCACCGAGATCATCTTCGTCCTCGAGGGCACGCTCGAGGTCGGCTTCATCACCACCGCCAACAAGCTCTTCACCAAGACGGTCACCATGGGGGACGTCTTCGTCTTCCCGCGCGGCCTCGTCCACTTCCAGCAGAACAGGGGGTACGGCCCTGCCGCCGTCGTCGCCGCCTTCAACAGCCAGCTCCAGGGCACGCAGCAAATCGCCGTGACGCTCTTCGGCGCCACGCCGCCCGTGTCCACCGACATCCTCGCCAAGGCCTTCCGGATCGGCGACGGGGAGGTGGAGCACATCAAGGCAAACTTCGCGCCCAAATAGAAGACCAGGCAGTGTCTTCGTCCAATATATGTCTGCACTCGTTGATTTCTCAATAAATCCCGCGGTGCCTGCCGTTAGTGATCCGAGTGTGCAGTTCGATTTGTTCATCTTCGGTTCGGTTTGGTTCGAGTTTTATTTATGGCTTGCGTTGCTTTGACTTGGTTCTTGTTAAGCGTGTCCGACAAAATGACAAATTATGAGATGATGAATAGCGCTTAATCTGTTCTTGCAAATTGTTTGAGAAATTAATAACATTGATTCACGGACGCCTTTGGCTGTCCTTGTTCCACAACTGCGGTTTCAGTGTCGTCAGGCCATAAAGTCAACGGTTGACAAGATCCAGGTTCTACCGTTCTAGCGGCGGGGTTCCTTTTTTTTTTTTGGAAATGGGAAGTTCTATCTAGTCCAACAATAGAAAACATATTTGAACCTAAGAAAAAGACAAATTTTGTAAGACCAATAACTAGTCCAAGTATATACTTCTATCCAAAGTGGTGGTTTTAAAATGAAGTAGCTTTTGTAGTAATAGACAATACATTGTGACATAAATTTAAAATCAAAATCTACTTTGAAAGACCTTCTTTTGCTGCTAAATTACACAATAAATCGACGGATGAGGAGTACTGGCCTATTGGGAGTATTCCAAAATGTACTTGATAGGATGTAAACACAATTTAATTTACACACCAGTCATTTAATAATTTTGTAGTTATTTTAATAAACTTGTTTTAAATTGTGTGTAAGGACCTTTTCTGATGTGTGATACCAGCTGAACATAACATAGGGTACAACTAATATGATTGCAACTTATTTGAGAAATTAACAACTATTTGTTGCTAGCTACATATAGTAGTATTGTTTGTTGGGATTAGAAGAAATTTAATGAAAGAGTCATTAGCTTCTAGAAGTACAAAAAATCTGAATGAGTTGTTACATGTATTGAGTATAAGTATTGTGAGGAACCTACGATTGGCTTGAAAGTTAAGTGTCGGGGACCAATACTTGGGTACCCGAAGAGGAGGAGCTAACGACCGTCGAACGTTGATTCATCCGCACAATCAAGAGCGCGACTACACCGCTTACCGGGTCATTTCTCGTCCGTCCACCGGGGCCATGGGCCCCGCCCCAAGCAGACTCCGTCTCGCCCGATGTCCGGGGGTCGCCGAGTTTCCTTTTGTACTCTGGAGCCGAAGGACAACCCCCAGTCGAGCCACCGGTTAGACGCCTTTCTTCATGGTCTATGGTTCCGAGGCCGTCCTCCCAACCGACCTCGACTATGGAGCACCAAGGATCAGAGCATACGACGAACATGGAGCCGAGGCATCCCATGAGGACGCCATGGACTAGCTGGACGAAGCACGCGACATCGCCCTCCTCTGCCTCGTGGGGTCGCGGATCAACACCCTGGTCCGTCGCGCCTCCCACCGGGGCGGGATGAGACGTGACCACTTGCTGATCAAGCCAGAGCATGGCATCATCAGCGGACAGGCGCCCAGCGTGGAGCTATCCCTGACACCGTCTGCCGTGTCAGCAGGGCTCGCTCAGAGGAAAAGGAAGACCCTGCACCTTCGAAGGACCTTCTTTGCCTCTGTTTTTTCTTCTTTTTTCCCATATGTAATCCCTGCTTCCCCTTGTCTATAAAAGGGAAGGCAGGGCACCCCACTAAAGAGAGGGATCAATAGAACACACCACGCATCACATAACACACAGATGAGCAGCAACCAAGCTCTTAGCGTCCTTTCAACCTTTCCATCAGAGACTTAGGACATGTCTCTCTCTCGCCCATTTGTAACCCCTACTATGAACCTTTCAGTGCTAATAACACGAAGCTGCAGCAGCAAACTGGACGTAGGGACATTCTGCCCGAACCAGTATAAACCTTGTGTCTTTTAGCATACCATCCGGGCCAGACGCGCAATAATACAAATTTACTCATTGGCGTTTACTCGAAACACCGACAGTTGACGCGCCAGGTAGGGGACCTTTGCGTGTTCTGACATTAACATCAGGCCATGGATGGCTAGCCACGGAATCAGCTGGGTTTCGGGCTCACACATGCGCTTCGGTGACCTAGACTTCATCGTCATGGTAGGAGGAGAGTTGGCATTGGCTCACGCCACCATCCAACCTCTCCCCTCCATCGGCCTCAACTACGGGAGGCTTGAGCGCTGGCTCGGCGTCTTCCTGGGACCCCAGCTGTCCCGAGAGGACCCGCGCCGCCTCATCTTCTCTGACGCCACCGACATGGAACGGCTCACCGGAGAAGAACCCTTCTCTCTAGAACACCCCACACGGAGCGCCCCGACAACACTTCCGTTCGGTCTCTGCAATGCCACGACGACCGTTAGCCACCTTGTGGCACGACGCATGGTTTCACCGCCCATGAACGACGAGTTTGTGGGGATGATCGAACATTGTCGACGAAATATGGTCGGCAGTCCACCGAGGGGTGTGCCCGTGGTGGTAGATTATCGGTAGACGGTACGTGTAATCAGGAACCAGATGGTGACACAAGGCGCAGAGACAGCGATTTAGACAGGTTCGGGCAGTCTGATCGACGTAATACCCTACGTCCTGTGTCTTTGTTGTATTGTATTGAGATGTATACAGATTAACCTGTCCTCTAGGGGACCCTTGTCTCTCCTTATATACTCCGAAGAGACAAGGTTACAAGTAAAGTATCTAATTTGGTACTATTACAATATCTAGTACAACTTGTAATCTTGATGTGCACGCCTTGATCTTACGGGCCGGGCCACCTCGGATGATGTGGCCCATGTACCATCTTGTGGTACCCGGGGGTATACCCCCCACAGCTAGTCCCCGAGCACCATGTATTCTGATGCGACACGCCATTTTAACCTTCTCCGAACAGTGAAGCTTGAGTTCTTGACATCTCCGACCACCGTTGTCGCCGGAGAAGTAGGTTGTCCGAAGAATGTATGGTGCTCTTAAGAAGAAAGAAAAAGATTTCCGTCCTGTGAAGTGTGCCCACTTGTATTTCTGAAAAGAAATGTAAGTGCGTCTTGAAGCGTAGCGTCCTTGATCATCAGAGGCGTAGTGGTCGAAAAATAAACACATTCACCGCAAGGTGAAGTGTGCCCACTTAGTCCCCGAGCCTGGTAGTAGGTGACGTAGGCACGTGGTGCCAGGGTCTAAAAAGAATTCCCAGTTAAGTTGAGAATCCAATCGTCGTACAGGCGATATGAGATGCACCGGCAGGTGCATCGTACCGATGTAGTCCCCGAGCTTGCTAGAAGGTGAGGTATGAGCCTTGTAGCAAGGTCTAAGTGATAAAAAATATCCCAACTGTATGCGAGTCGCCAGGCGCATGTAGTTGAGATGCAAAGTCCCCGAGCCGTGGTCAGAGAGTGGTCGAGGCAGTCCTCGAGCGTAGGTCGAGGAGCGAGCGACGAAGTCCCCTAGCTGTGGTCGGAGAGTGATCGAGGCAGTCCCCGAGCACAGGTCGAGGAGCGAGCGATGAAGTTCCCAAGCCATGGTTGGAGAGTGGTCGAGGCAGTCCCCGAGCATAGGTCGAGGAGCGAGCGATGAAGTCCCCGAGCTGTGGTCGGAGAGTGGTCGAGGCAGTCCCCGAGCACAGGTCGAGGAGCGAGCGACGAAGTCCCCGAGCATAGCTTGAAATTACTGCAATATAAATATGTAGAATGGTAGTACATGATGTACAAAATAATAAATTATGAAGAAAAATCAGCGGTGAAGAAATAGCGTATGACGCTCAGCAGTCATTTGCAAATGAGCATGATGTGATAAAGCAGTTGGTGCTTTGTAAACATCAGTGTTAAAGTGAAGTTTGTGTTTATACTTAATATAAACTGCCCGACCAGTTAGTATATAGCTGAGTCTCCAGCCCTAGCTGGCCCGTTAACCATAACGCGGGGCGCGGAGCCCGTGCACGTGTAGGAAGAACAAAGCGTTGCTAAGGAGCCGCTGTCGACCACCCATAATGCAGAGGGCAGACGCTCGTGCACGTGTAGGGAGGAGCCTGAGATAGGGCCTTTTTTGGAGACATCGAGCGTCAACATGATTGGTCAAGGATTTGCATTAAGTATAGCTGTATGTTATCTTTAAGATGGTATACATGGACAAACGTTATTTGAAGAATAACCATGACGAGGACGCTATGGAGAAACATCGTAATGAAAATTGTGTTAAATATAAATATTAGAAGTGTACTTATCTTTGGATAGAAATCTGGTCGATGGCGATAAAGTTGTCCGGTCCTCATGCTTTTTGGCCTGTTGTGACGGTGGTCGCAGTTGTCATAGCGCCGTTTTTCATGGCGATCATCATTGCGACGTGGTCTGGTGGTCGAGGTGGTCGGAGCTCGGCGGAGCCGCTCGGGACGTGGTCGACGTGGTCTGGTGGTCGGAGGTCGGCGGAGCCGCTCTGGACGTGGTCTGGTGGTCGATGTGGTCGGAGCTCGGCAGAGCCGCTCGGGACATGGTCGATGTGGTCCGTGGTCGGAGCTCGGCGGAGCTGCTTGGGACATGGTCGACGTGGTCCGTGGTCGGAGCTTGGCGGAGCTGCTCGGGACGTGGTCTGGTGGTCGACGTGGTCAGAGCTTGGCGGAGCCCCTCAAGACGTGGTCGACGTGGTCCGTGATCGACATGGTCGGAGCTCAGCGGAGCCACCTGGGACGTGGTCGACGTGAGCTTGGTGGAGCCGCTCAATTGGCCCGCTTGGCTCGACGTGGCTTGCCAGATGGCTCGATGCGTGCGTTGTCTTCGTAGTCGTCGTTAGCTTGTGTGGTGATCTAACTTGGACACATATATGCTTCCTTGGTTGCATGGTTCTGTAACATAGCACGGTGGCTTGATGCAGTCGGATAGCTTGTTCGATGCCTCAGAAGATCATCTCGGCGGTCATGTCAGCGTTGGAGAGCTTGTCACAAGACGGGATGAATAGACAGTGTTCGGCTTGATTGCGGCTGCATGATGCACACGTACGTATACACGCACACATGCATGTGCCCCTGTAGA